GAGTCCTGCACTTAAAATTACTCCTCAACAGTGAAAAACTGGAGACTTCCTTGTAAAAAATTGATTTGCTGTGGGATATTCAGCTTAGATTAAGGGCATGTCCTATCGAGAAAAGCTTTCTTCATAATAGAAAGCTAAATGTTTTCTTTGCTATTTATATGGACTATTACTAAAAGAAAGAGTCATCAACAACAATAACAAAATCTAGCAAAACCTGTGACAGCAAACTTGCGATAGCTACCTTGTGAGATGTCAGATGAATGTTCCCAATACAATCCTCACTGGGTGACAAAAGTGATATTTTCAAAAATACTTAGATCCAAAGAGGCACCAGATCAGATTTTCAGAAATATTTAATGAAAGACTGATGAGAAGCATTCATCATTCCAACAAGTAATCAAAATGGTGCGAACCATGATCCAATAGAAGAGACTTTTAAAAAGGAATTAATATCTTGGATTGTAGTTTTGCCGTTTCTTCAGCGTTTCACAGACTCCTTACACCTGTGCACTCCAGTCTAGGTGGTGTCTTAGATCCCATTTCAGTTTACTGTGAAAAGGTTCAGACTTCATTGTGTCTGTTCTTAGTTATTAAAGTTACCTCTAACCTGGCTGATTGGAGCCTTAGCAGGCACAGGGAATGTGGTGGCTCTGGTGATTGATGGTGGCTGAAGAGAGCACTCAAATCTCCGAGTGCCAGAGGTGCTGTGGTTGTCTGAAGGACAGGCAGGAGAGCCAAGAACACTGCTCTGATGTGATACCAGCTTCTAAAACCCTGCCAGTGCCACAGCTGCTTGGTATTTTAGATGGATAATTTTGCTGCTCTTATGTGACTTTTCATTATTCTTGAGAAACATCATAGAGATTTCCTCCTTGTGTGACTATCACAGTCTGGGAGATAATAGGAACTGGACTTGACTGTATCCCCAGGCTTACTTACAAGAAACATAATAATGTATGAAAGGAGAAACACATAATCCAAGCAAAAGGAAAAAGGAACACAAGAAATGCTCCTGTTAACTCTCTGTATTCTTGCTTTGTTGTAAATTATGTCCTGATTGGTTAGATTATAATAAAACTAAGGTAGAATTTTATAGTGAAATTAATAAATGTTAAAACTTCCTATTATTTTTAGCTATCTTAAAAACCCTAAAGATTAAAAAAAATTAAATCTCTGTTGTGACTCTGTGCTTGAGAAAACCGTGATATATAAAGTTAATGGTATTTTCCCAGAACAGAAATAATATTCATATCAAAGAACACAATAGTCTATAGACTTCTGCACTGAAGTCTGCTTTGGAGTTCAAGCCTTCCTTTTCCAGCTAAACTGTTATAAATGAAACAGTCCATGAAAATATTTACTTCATAGTTCCATTGTTTTTACATTTTTCCCATCTGGTAGAGTCTCTAATTAGCACTTCGTTTCCTGAATTTTGGTGAGAATTCTGAAATGCAATATAATCTTTGGAGATTTTAATTTTTTCTTATTCTATTTCATTGCATGATAACCTGGTGTATAGAAGACCTTTTCAATATTTCATTCTTCTACAAACGTAATTGCAAAGTATTAAATTCCTATTTCTGTCTTTAGCAATTCTATTGGTTCAAGGTAACATGAACTCAGCAATCATTTCACTAAGCCCTGTAAATTCTTTTCTGGGCAGGGCACAGAATTGAGCATTAAACACTGAGTGCCATCTAGTGCACACACTGCAGTGTATGGACAAAAGCAAAAGAAAAGAATCTTCTGATTACAGTTTCCAGGAAAAAAAAAAGGCTATATAGTTTCTATATCTGAAATATGGATCATTAAATTACTGTGTGTCATTTAAATAAAAAATATTTAAGAACATATTTCAGACTAGAGGAAGAGATGTATGGACACAAAACTATCAGATAGTCATGTATATTATTGTGTTGGTAGACTGAGCTTTTTAAACACACCAGGAATTCCTTGTATCCTTTATTCCCCATATGATTTCCCAGTGTGCCACCTTCTCATCCCACTTTATGTTTTAGAACAGTCTCAGCCGTTTACAACTTGCAATTTGCTAAATTACTCCTGTTCTTTCCTTCCGGGAAAAAAACTAAATCTTAACTGAGGTGTTTGGAAGATGTTTGGCAGAGTTAAAAGCTATGCTATTTCTCCAGCTCTTTGATCTATAGGCAATTATAATGCTATTAGGAGACAAATTGACTTATCAATTGCCATAGCTTTGTTGGTCCCACATTTCATTCTCCAGTTTTACAGTTTTTACCAAAATCAATAAGAACCTTCCCACTGACATCTGGCCCTATTTTCTGTATGATTGTACTGTGGCTTGGTAAACAGAAAAATGTCACTAGTGTGAATTAAGTCCTTGCTTCACTCTGTTGTGGGGGGGGAGGGGGGGGGGGAATTCAAATATTTAAAGTATTTAACACTTTTTCAAAACTTCTAAGGTGATAAATATCTTTGTAAATTGATAGCTGGTATGGTTTGAAATGGCAAAAAATGGAACTTTACAAACTAATCCTATAATATATCCCATGGGTGTTTTTCCAATGTAAGCTCGATATTTACAGTATCCTCATTTGCTTAAATTTATCCTTGTTTTGTTTGCTAGATTCAGTATATATATATATATATTCAGTATATATATTTAGTATATAATTTCATGTTACAGACCTAAAAATCTTACCTGTGGAGCTGGTTAATGACCAGGTGGAGACACCAGTCGATGCATTTCCATACTTAGCATCACTTCTTGTAACTTTTAGTTCAATTTTCTTCAGAAACTTGAAAAGGTCTGTATTTCTAGATGTCTCAAAAGTCTGGACTGGAATGAATATTATTAGAAGTTCCCTAACATGTTTTTAATGAAAAAAATCTTTTGAGTGCTATTGTGTTAAAAGAAGAAAGAGCTCAAAAGAATATGTACATAAAGTCACTGAGGTCTCCAAATTTATTAAAACATGAAACTTGTTCTTTATAAGAAAAATAACACTTTTAAAGGATAAATGGCTCATGAAGTGCTTGGTAAGTGCTGTATACTGCATGCAGCTATATGGGTACAAAGGCAGAGAGACAAAAAGAAGAGGCAACCTGCTGGTGTCAGTAGAGAAACTAATTATCCATGAAAGTGTTGCTGTTTGTGTACCTGTAGTGAAAAGGAGAGGAAGGAGTGTCCTGAGGTGCATCAAGCACAGCATCACTGGATGGTCAAGGGAGGGGATTATCCCACTTTTCTCTGCATCAGTGCCATACAAGGAGAAGCTGAGGTCACCTGGTTTGTTCAGCCTGGAGAAGAGGAGGCTGAGGGGAGACCTCATCACAGTCTGCAATTCCCCATGAGGAGAAGCTGACCAGCAACAGGACCTAAGGGAATGGACCAAAGTTGTGTCAGGGCAGATTTAAGCTGGATGTTAGGATAAGGTTCTTCACCCAAAGGTTGTTTAGACACTGGAATAGGGTTCCCATAACAGTGGTCACAGAACCAAGCCTGACAGAGCTAGGAAGAGTTTGGACAACATTCTCAGGCACACAGTGTGGTTGTTGGGGCTGTCCTGTGCAGGGCTGGGAGTTGGACTTCCTTGGTCCTAGTGGGTCACTTCCAACCAGGATATTCTATGATTCTATGAACTCTTGCATCCAAGTTTGTTGACTCTGGGTTGCAGTACCAATCACCTTACTACATAGGGAAGCCAGAGGAGAAAACACAAACAACCACACATATCCCCATAAACCTGTTTAAAATTCTGAATATACTTAACCTAGTTACACAGTAAAGGACAACACATTAGAGATAAGTGCTGAGCTGCATTAGCAAAATGTGATGAATGGCAAATAAAAGAGGCAAACTCTGTCCACCAGAAGAGGACCTGCTCAGATACACAGCAGATACATCATCAGGTGCATCATCTGTACCCAGGGAAGAGGGGCTGGAGGATTCCTACTCTCTCTCTTCTGCTTCTGCCCCTGTTCCTACAGGGGCTGTGATTTTCCTTTGTACCTTATTGTACTCCCCTTTCTTCTTTCATGCTTTTTTGGGTGTTTTACATGTAATTAGTACACAATTCATATTGTCTCTGTCGTGCCCAAGTCAGGTTCTGCCCAGCTCTTGGGACTGCATTGCTTTAGCAAGCCATATACAGGAGTTGAGATTTCTGCCATTCCCCAAGAAAAAGTGGTATTACCCTATACTTGTACCATCAGTTCCTCTGCTATTAACCTAGTCCTGGGATGATGGTACGGACAAGGTGAAGGACTGAAAGCTGATAAGCATCTACTCTTTTATACCAACAGATGTGTTTGTGTCCATTGAAAGTATCTTTCTTTTGTTCTTGAGATGGATAAAAATTCCAAATTTAGAGATTTTCATCCTTGAAAGAGGTACAAGAGTGAACTAAGAAACACAAGTGTTATAAATTAAGAAACCCCAGTTTAGATTAATATATTCTAGACATTTTAATAACAGGTAATTTTTTTTGTGTTTGTGTGTTCAAGGGACAACTTACTAGAAGTGATGTAGTGCTAGAAATAGGCTTAGCAGCCAAATAAAAATCAGCATGTAATGAATTTGGAGTGGAAAAGATTTACCATAAGCACATCTAAATACCAGGTGTGAATGACTCATGAACTCATCTAATCTCAGGATTGAATCACGACTCAGTAAATACCATGTGCCTTCTTTACACAAACCAAACAGTAAGAATCCTTCAGCTTATGACCCAAAGCAGAACAATTTATAAACTCATTTGATGAAATGTTAGTTTCCATAGAGAGATAAGTAATTCATCAAGAAAGCACTGCTGACATTTATTACCAAGCAAAAGCATTTTTTCAATGTGAAATAATATGTCTCATCAGAGTACTCGCCATAGCTGGAAAAAATTAAGCAAACTTTTGAGTGTCAAAGCCCTTCTTCAGGTTTAAGATAGGCTAGGTACATTCTAGAGCTAAGCAGAAATTGAAAACATTTGTTCAGGCAGTCAGATATCGGTAAGGTCATTTCTGAGAGAAAAAGTATTTGATTTCTGTGAAGCAGATTGTATATTCTAAGAGGAAAGGGGCCAGGGAGCAGGGAAGAAGAGAGAGAGAAATAAATATCATAAGTTTGTTATCTTCTGGATAATTTCTGTAACAATTAAGTAGAGGAGAACAAAATAAGACCATGTCCTAAAAGCAATACCAGTACTGAGTTTGCTTTTTTGTGTACCCAGTAGAATTATCAGTAGAATCTCAGCTCCCAGCACCACTGAAAAAAATATTATTTGTCTGTTTCCTTGTAAGATAAAGTCTTAGAGATCAGAAATAAAATAATTTAACTGTTGTAGAAATATTAATCTTTATTATATGGTCTCTTACAGATATTTTGGAGTGCTCATCCAAACCCAAAAAGAACTGTGATATTGTAGAAAATTTCCAGTACACACAAAATCACGTATGCTCACACTGAGAGATACTGAGAGAACATAAATGCTGTATCATGGAAGGAGAAATCTTATTCAAACATTTGCCACCAAACTTGAACGTTTGCGATAATACATAGAGAACAGTGAGCAACATAGTTTTGCCTCTGTCAGTCTGCAAGGTTTGGAAAGGAGCTGGACCTTCACCACTACAGCTTTGGGGAGGTGAGAGAGCTGCAATGCCTGAAACAAAGGAGAGAAATCCAGATTCTTACTCACACTTGAATCAAGTTTCAGAGGTGTCATCCCATGATTCATTCAGATGCAGACAGTATTAAATTCAAAATCCTGTTTAGTGGCAAAGAAGAAGCATACATTAGATGGATATAGAACCAGGAAACTTTTGCTTGTGTAAACAAAATCTCTAAAGTTTAATTATTATTATAATAGAACCATAGAATCATAGAATGATTTGAGTTGGAAGGGGCCTGTAAGATCATCAGGTTCCAACCCCCTGCCATGAACAGGGACACCTTCCACTAGAACAGATCTCTTGAAGCCCAATCTAACCTGGTCTTAAACACTTCCAGGGGTGGAGCATCCACAAATTCTTGGGACAGCATGTTCCAGTGCCTCACCACTCTCTGAGTAAAGAATTTTTCCCAACTTCTAAACTAAATCACTGCCCTTTTAGTTAAAAACTGTTCCTTCTTGTCCTATCACTAGCTGTCCTTGTAAAAAGTCACTCTTACTTGTTTTTTAAGCCCACTTTCAGTACCAAAGCCTTCTCTTCTCCAGACTGAACAATGCCAACATCTCAACAATGCCTGTCTTCACAGGAAGTGCTCCAGCCCTCTGATCATCTTTATGGCTTCCTCTGGATTCACTCCAACAGATCCACATCTTCCTTGTGCTGAGCACCCCAGAGCTGAATGCTGCTGTTCAGGTGGGTTCTCAAGAGGCCAGAGTGAAGGCAAAGAATCACCTCGCTCGACATGCTGGCCATGCTATTTGTGATGTAGCCCACGATAAGTTTGGCCTTCTGGACTGTGAACACACATTGCTGGATCATGTCCAGCTTTTTGTTCATGAGAACCCCTAGGTCCTTCTCCACAGGGCTTCCCTCTGGGAGTTCTTCTTTCAGACTCATGCCTGAGACTGCCAAACCCAGGGGCAGCACCTTGCACTTGGACTAGTTGAACTTCATTAGGTGCTCATGGGTCAACTCAAGTTTCTTCAGGTTCTCTTGGATGGCATCCTTTCCTTCTTTTGTATTAATTGTACCACTCAACTTCATGTCATCTGCAAACTTACTGAAATGTCACTTGACATGACTGTGATAAAGATATCACAGTCCCAGTCCCAAGGCAGAGCCCTCAGGGACACCACTCATCACTGGTCTCCACCTTGATGTTGGCCAAAATTCTCTGGCTGCATCCATCCAGGCAATTCCATACCCTCTGAATAGTCCACCCTACAAATCCATGTGTCTCCAGTTTGGAGATAAGGATGTGTGTGGCTTTATAGAAGTCTAAACAGATGACATTTGTTGGTCATTCCTTGTTAACTGTGGCAGCAACTCATTAGTAACCCAAATCTAATTGCAAAGACAAAGAATACAGTGAGAAGACAGAAAAAAGTCTCAGCAGTGGAAGTAAAATTTAGAAGTTAAAATTTCTACTTATGTGCTTAATTTCTACCCCTTTCCAGGCGTGATGCCCATCCTTACCCTGCTCCTCTGGCTCCTGAGGCTGGCAGCTTCCCTTGGGGATTGGGAGGTAGTAAGTTGCCATCATCTGGAGTCCTTTGTCGTGGCAATAGTTTCTTCTTCCTCATGCCTGGATCTGTGTAAGGCATATTGGGAGCCTTGTGGCAGACTTTGAACTGGAGGAGATAGTGACTTGGAGCAGGCCATGTGTGGCACTGACACCTACTTGGCCTTGCCTTTATCTGACAGTACAGCAAGGAATTTCTCCTGAGAACATCTGTTAGGAACAGGGTTGTTTTCTCAGAAGAAAATTATATAACATCTCAGATGATCACAAGGGAAAGAATCTCTCAGTGGATGCTTCACTTTTTGCAGTATGCTGTGGGAAAACCTGTGCAGGCTCCATCTGGAGCTGTACAGATACAGCCCAGCATCAGAAATCTGAAGGGATTTGCTCCCCATCCGTAGTACTCTCCATTTCTGCCCTATGAAGGCAGTCATCTTATTAAGCCATTTATTTTCAGGCCTTATTGAGGCTATCACATCACTCACCAGGTGATAGCAGAACATGGAGCCATTTCTAAATGTTTACTAACATCCATTTGCACCTTTCTGTC